AAACAGGTGAAATTAAATTATAAAGGTATTTTATTAAACCTCAAATATCCAAAATTCATTTCAACATGTAATCAATGTAAAAAATTATCAGGATATTTCACATTCCTTTTTTTCATAATAAGTCTTCAAAATCCAGCATGTATCTTATAGCATATCTTAATTCAAACTAATCCATTTCAAATCGTTAATAACTACATATGGCTTGTGGCTGCCATATTCAATAGCACATACTTAAAGCTGCAGTGTCCCTGGAATTTAAGGACTTAGATTCCTCCCTTGAAGCCAGTGCTAACTAAATATAAGAGACCAACAAAATAATTTAATAACCCCTCTGCTAACCTCTGCTCTCTACCAATGATTCAACAAAAACAGTATTTATCAAGTGCCTACACTGTCAGGTATCATGCCAGGTGCTAGGGATATTACAGTGAATAAGACAAAGCCCCTGCTTTCATGGAGCTTATGATGGTGGTGAAGGGAGAGATAAATCAGTAAGTAGGCAGTGTGTCACCTAATCAAATGTGCTGTGAAGAAAAATACAGCAAGGTAAGAGGGTCGGGGACAGGGCAGATAGTGGATTGCAATTTGAAATAGGTGGTCAGGGAAGGCCTCTCTAATAAAGAGTTGAGCAGAGACCAGAAGGAAGCAAGGGAGTGAATCCTACAGTTCAGTGGAAAAGGAGGAGTTCCAGGCAGACTATACAACAATTACAAAATACTTAAAAGCACTCGTGACATGTTCAAGTAGGAGCAATGAAAACAGTATAGCTAGAGCTGAGTGGATAGGGAGTGGGCAGGCACAGATGGGGATGGTTGGAATATGGTTAAAGAGGAAATAGGTGATGGGGGGCAGATCACGTAGGCATAATGAGGACTCCGGCTTTACTGAGTGGAGGAACAACATGAACTGATAAGGATACTGGAGATAATTAGGTTGAGAAGCAACGGTTCCACCTTTCTCATGGGGCTATGCATATAGGAAGTAGCCAATAAATGTCCCTAGGGAAATACTAGTTTGCTACTCTAAGGTTGAGAGTCTAGCATTGCATATAATAGGAGGGTAGATCTATCTTATTTCCAATAAGATCATTCCAGAAAGCTGAAAAAGGAATTGTCTATAAGTAAGGGGTGTCTTGTAATCCATATTGACTGTCAGCTGCCCTGATGAAGACTGGCCAAGAACTGGTCCTACTCTGAGAGCCCTGTCTAGTGATTGGCTGGGAATCATTAACGTATGAACTTTTCTCCTCCTTTGCTGCCATTAATTGTAATGATGGGGAAATTCGCTGTGGAGAAAGAGCCCATGAATTCAGAAGAAAGCACAGGAAAGAGGCATGATATCAGAAAGAACTGAATTTGAATTTGAGTTCTGCCATTTGGTGGCCATTTGGCTTTAGTTAAGTCACTTTACTTCTCTGAACTTCTTTCTCCTCTGTCAAGTGGAGGTGGTAATAACTTCCTTTTAGCAGTATTTGGCATATTTATACACATATGGTGTAAAGTTGCTGGTTTGTAGCACCTGTTCAATAATTGGTAGCTATTGTGATGTGTTCACCAAAATTTTGACAACCTACTACATGTAAAGCACACTGCTATGGATGGACTGAATGTTTGTGTTCCCTCCTCCCCGCAAATTCATATGTTGAAACCTTGCTCCCCAATGTGATAGTATGAGGAGGTGGGGCCTTTAGGAGGTGAATAGGATTAGATAAGGTCATGAGGGAAGTGCCCTCACTAATGGGATTAGTGCTCTTATAAAAGTCCTGAGTTTGCTTTGCTTTGCTCTTCACCATGTGAGGACACAAGAAGTTGGCAATCTGCAATGCAGAAGAGGGCTGTCACTAGAACTTGACCATGCTGTCACCCTAATCTCAGACTTCCGGCCTCCAGAACTGTGAAAAATAAATTTGCTATTTAAAAGCTACCCACTTTATGGCATTTTGTTGTAAGAGCCCAAGCTAAGACATATGTAAATAAAGAAAATACATGATTTCCTCCTTTCAAGTTGTTTATATCCAGGGAAATGAGACATGCACAAAATATATTCAATAAGACATAATGTACTTGCTCAAATGAGAGATATAAAATATAATAATAGTTACCACTCATTACTTAAATAAGCCAGTTACTATGCTTTTTCATAAACGTCTCATTTTATTTTTGCAAACTCCACCTTAGAACGTTTTGTTTTTTATCTCTATTTTACAAAAAGAAGGAAGCTGAGGCTCAGAGGGGGGAAGTGAATTGCCCAAGGTTGCACAGCTGGGCAGTGGCAGAGGACAGAAGTGAGCCCCATTCTAAGCTACGGACCTCACATCCTTATCAGAGAAACTCATCCCTGAAACTCCTAGTCCTTACTCAAATTTTACCACATTGTTCATTCATTTCTGTCCATCTTCTTTTTTAGCTTAACCCTACCTCACAATGCCAGCTAAAATTTGAGTAAATAATGTTGTGCCTCAAAGGACTCATGATTTACTGAACTTTCCATTCTGAAGTTAATGTCTATATAGAAAAGGAGAGGCCAAAGAATTTAACAACCTCCTCCAATCATTACAGCACTGAGAGCTTGTCACTCTGCCCAATAATGTGAACCACCAGGCTGATCAAGAGGCACATCCTAAGCTCTGGGGTATGTGCAGCCCCAATAAATGTCAGAGTCCTATGCAAGGTCCAGTTCTTAGCCATTTTCTCTTCCTATTCTGCACACATCTTTCAGGGTGATCTCATTTATTCTCATACCTTCAGCTACTTCTTTGAAGCCCTTACTCTGAAATCTCTACCTCTAGCCCAGCTCTCTCCCACCCGAACTCTGGCTGTGCACAGTCACTTGGGTGTTCCATAAGCACCTCATGCTCAATGTATCTACATATGAACTCATCTTTCCCACCTCACCCACAATGCTTTGTTTCTTAGCTAAAAAAAAAAAAAAAAAAAAAGCACTACCATAGCCACCCAAGGTAGAAACATTTGTGACTCTCCCTGTCTTTACCTCTAGTTACTCATCAGATCATTTTCTATTATATTTTTAAAATCTATCTTTTCTTCTGCAATTACCTCTCAGCTGAAGTTGTGCCAAAGCTCCTATCTGGTCTTTCTCCACGCCCTCCTTTCCCAGGCTTTTCTCCACACTGCAGCCAGAGTGATCTTTTTAAAGTTCATCAGTGCTTTGGTCTGACATGCAAAGTCCTCCAGGATCTGGGCCTGACTCCTTCTCCAGACTCATTTCTTACCACTCCTAGCCTCAGATTCTATATCATAATTCTATTTAACTTAGTGCCCTTTTGCACGTGTTGTTCCCATTATCTTGAATTCTCTTTCCTCCCTTCTTTATCTGGCTGACACCTATTGTTCCTTCAAGTTAATTTGGGCATTAATTACCTTTTCCAGGAATCCTTCTCTGATACCCCTAAGAAGGATCAAGTGTCCTGATTGCTTCCAAAGCAGTTGAGCTATTTATGTCCCATCACCCTATTGAATTGAATCACATGGTACTGCCTGTTTAATTCTGATTGCCACAACTCGTCCAGAAACTCGAGAGCAGAGATAAAGTAAACAGCTAACAGAATGTCCAGAACACAACAGACTTTAAAGAAATGTTAAATAAAAAGAAAAATGAATGGGAAGTAGTATATGTTACAGCAAGGAACTAGAGTTATAAGTGGCAGTTCTGTTTAGTAATTAAGAGTGTGGGTTCTGAAGTCAGCAGTTTAGATTTGTATCCCCCTGCCTTTCCACTCTCTTGCATGTTATTTAACTTCTTGTTGCCTAAGTTTTCCCATCTTTAAAATTACAGTAATAATTGTACTTGGGTCCTAGGGCTGCTGTGAAGATCAAATTTTAAAATTTTGTCATTTTAATGAAGAGGCAATACATATATACAATAGACTAGTACTCAGCCATACAAAAAGAATGAAATCTTGCCACCTGCAACAACATGGATGGACCAAGAGGGTATTGTGCCGAGTGGATTAAGTCCGACAGAGACGGATAAATGCCATGACTTCGCTTACATGTGGATCTAAAGAACGAAATAAACAAAACAGAAACAAACTCATACATTCACATAGAGTATATTTTGAGGGTTGCCAGATGGGAGGGGTTTTGGGAGGGTGAATGAAAAAAAGGAAGAGATTAAAAAGCAAAAAGCAGTTATAAAATAGGCATAGGGATATAAAGTATAGCATAAGGAATATAGTCAATATTATAATAATAACTATATATGGTGTCAGACAGTACTAGCTTTATCAGCAGGATCACTTCATAAGTGATAAAAATGTCTAATCGCTGTTATACACCTAGAACTAATATAATATTGTATGCCAACTGAAAAGTGAATTATTTAAAAATTTTTTGATATTCTGCTTATGAATTTTTTTTGTAAATTTGTAAATCATTGCATTAAAATATCATTTATCTTACTGATTTTTTCTGTCCCTTTTTAAAATTTTTGTTCCAGGCAAGTGCCTCATTCACTTAACTTAGTCCCCACTTTGTCAGCACCTTACATACCTGACACATAAGCAGGGTTCAATAAATATTCATTGAACTTACTTATCTCCCTATATTTTTAAATTTAAGTAAAATATACACAGTAAACAAATATTAAGCGTATTGCTGAACTCCTTGTTCAGAACATTATGTAAGCGGTAAAGGGTGACTTTCCTTTTCAAATCGTGTACCTAATAAAAAGAAGTCTTTTATAGATCTCTCCTCTTTTTTTTCTGTGCAGCTCTTTTCCCCAGGCTCTCTCCTTCCCTGTCAGTTCCAACTGACAAATTTCCTAGACAAAAATATCTTCAGGTGGTCGAATTTGAAAAAACAATATTTTCCTGAAGGACAGCCTTTGACGTCAAGGGCCCCCACCTCCTGTAACTTTCAGAAGAGCGCTTCAAAGGAGGCCGCCATCTTCCAAACAGCGGTACCGCATCTCGCGCATGCGTTTCTGCTTGTCAGAGAAAGAGCTATTTTTAAGCCCTCTCGGCATCCTTACGTTGCGGAGCGTTGGTGACGTAGGCTTCTTGCCGGAAGCAAGAAGAGGTAGAAGTGTTACACTGCTCTGGGTGATTTAACTTTAGGGCTGGGGGCTAATTGCTGCTCAAAAGCTCCGAGGTGCGTGAGTGGACCAAATTCTCCGCTTTGCGAGAAGTTAGGGCGTGCGCGGAGGTGTGTTTTTAGTGTAAGTGGGCACGTGTTCTCGCTGCCGGTTTAGGAGGACCTAAACCATCATCTTACCTTCACGCTTTTCCTGGCTCACTTTAAAACACTTTTTTTCAGAAAAGCGAAACGCCTAGAATTTAGTCCGATACAGGCTCTGCCACCGACTTGCTGTGTGTCCTTGGGGTCCTCATCACTTCTCAATATCCTTATCTATAAATTGAAGGGTAGACAAGTTTCTTAAGTCTCCACTCAGTTCTGAGTGTTATTGCATAGCTATTATGTTACCTGAGTCAGAAAGCCTTGGGGGTTAAATATCGTTGACTCCATTTTATAAGAAAGACGTTGAATCCCAAGGTGAGAGATTTGATGACTTCCTTAAGATTGAAAAGAAAACTTTTAGAGGTTTCAGACCTTGAAACTAGAAGATAATGTTGTAATTCCATGATGAGGTCTCCTTTGTGTATTTCTGTATCATTAGTTCCTGAAACTAGCGTATAGGAGTCAAAAAATATTGAATGGACCAATGAATCTTGAGGTCAAGGCCAAGGACACAAGCAGATCCGGTGCCTCTATCTCTTGATATATTAAGTGTAATTCTTCTCCAGGTGTATCCTGTGCTTGATTGGGGACCCCGAATCCAGTCTGTTAAGTTCTTCAACTTAATTAGACGCCATGGAGGCACCTCCTGTCACCATGATGCCTGTCACCGGGGGCACCATAAACATGATGGAGTACCTGCTGCAGGGTAAGTGAACCACGGAGCCTGGATTACCTGTTTTCCTCTTTTTTCTATTGGTCTGTGGAGCTGAGAGGCTGTTATACAAAGGCAGCCAGCATAACTTCTGGCACCCAATAGACAACAAGTTAAATTTTTACTTTTACTTTTAATTATGGTCACAAACACATAACATTAAATTTTACCATCTTAAACATTTTTAAGTGTACAGTTCAGTAATGTTATGTATATTCACATCGTTGTATAGCCGATCTCTGGAACTTTTTCGTTTTGCAAAACTGAAGTGCTACACCCATTAAAAACTAATTCTCCTTTCTCCTGCCTCTGCCTTTGGCAACTACATTCTGATTTCGACTACTTTAGATACTTCATATGAGTGGAATCATATAACTTTTGTCTTTTTATGACTGGCTTATTTCACTTAGCATAATGTACTCAGGGTTCATCCATATTGTAGCACACAACAAGATCCCCTTTTTTAAGGCTGAATAATGTTCTATTATATATATATATACACACACACCACATTTCTGTATCTTTTTATCTGTCAGTGGACATTTGGTTTGCTTTTACCTCTTGGTTATTGTGAATAATGCTGCAGTCAATATGGATATGCAAATATCTCTTCAGATCCTGCTTTGAATTCTTCTGGATACATATCCAGAAGTGGGATTACTAGAGCATATGGTAATTCTATGATACTGTTATTAGCTCCATCTTATAGATCAGGAAGCACAGGTAAAATAACTATCCCAGGTGAGAAAACTCAAGACCCAGAAAGGGTAACAATTTTCAGGAGGTCATATAATGTTTAGTGAAAGAGTTTAGGCTTTAATTCAGATCATTCATAGTATCTTCATGTGAACAAAATAGGATTATTCACTTTTATTCCTCAAGCTGCTCCCTCCTTTAGTCATTTCTCATTTCAGTTAGTGCCATTTTCATTCACCAGTTGCTAAAGCCAAGCATTCAGGAGTCAATCTCCATTTTTTACTTTACCCCACATCTAGTCCATTTCTAAGACCTAGCCATTTTACTTCCCAATTATATATTTTAAATATGTCTTTTCTCCACCTGAATCCCTTAACTGAACTACTTTAGCAGCCTCATACTTAATACATTGCTTCCACTTTTGATCATGTCTCTTCTCACACAACAATTTTTTAAAAAATAGTTTTATTATTAAAAAATTCAGACATAAAGAAAATAGAGACTAATATAGTGGACACTCCATTTCTATCATTTAGATTCCAGTTTCTATCATTTTGCCATATTTGCTTCATCTTTTTTCTTTTATCATTTTTAAAGAAAATTTTAGATCTCATAACATTTTACCCCTGTGCACTTCAGTACACATCTCTAAAAAAAGGATATTTTCCTTCACAACCCCAACACCATCATTATTGTTTTTAAAAATTCTATATTAATATCATCTACTACCTAGTCCATATTCAAAAGTTTCCCCTCAATTATCCCAAAAATGTGTTTTGTAACCAGTATACAATCAAGTTTCATGGATTATATTTGATAATTGTGTCTCTTAAGTCTCTTTTAATTTGGACCAGTCTACCCTCACCCCCACTTTTTTTTCCCATGACCATGTCTTATTGAAGAGTCTATACCAGTTTCTATGGAATGATCTTTTTAAAATGTAAATCTATTTATGTCTTTTCCTATTGTGTGGAGAATAAAATATGGAGCTAATAGCTGCCCAATGACTTTAGAATAAAATACAAGGTCACTATATTAGTCTCTCTTTTCTTTATGTTTGTATATAAGGCCTACGTGCTTTGTCCTATGCCAAATCCTCATTTCATTCTCTTCTATCTTGCTCACTACACTTCAGCCATACTCCTTGAATTCCCCGGGCCCTTTCCTGCTTCCACGCTTTTGCACTTAACGATCCCTTTAACCCCAGTACTTTTTCCGGCTCTTCAAATAATCATCTCATTTTCATCCTTCTGGTCTCAGCTCAGTTGTCATTCCATTAGAGAGATCTTTTCTTGACTACTCTAACCCCTCTGAGAGGTCTCTTCTCTACCCCCATCAGTTGCTGTCTATCCCATCTGCCTTTGATTTCCTTATATGTCTATTTGTTTACTTATTTTTTGCTTCCCCCACTAAACTGTAGTCTCTGTGAGGTCAGGGCCTCTTCTTATCATAATGCCTGCCACAGCATTCAATAAGTATATGCTGAGTGAACCAACTCATAAAACTCATCAAATGTGAACAGACACATTCTTGACACTGTCCTGAATATAGGATACAATACATTGAATGTAGGACTTGTTCCTTGCTCCTATGATCTGTCCTATGATTGCTGGGACCTGCTCTCTTGCTTTTCTTTCAACATTACCTATTTCCAAAAATTTAGTCAAGTGAGTCCCACTATCAGTATTTCCCATTGTTAAATAATACACTCTTATTTACTTTAACAGATTTATTCAATAAATATTTGAATATGTTCCTACCATTGGAATGTCAGCAATGGAGGAAGAAAGATGACTAAAACTCAATACATAATTAATATATTGAAGATTGACTAAAACATAGAGGTGATAATGCTAAAGAAAAATAAAACAGGGAAGAGGAGAGGTTGGAGGATGACATACTATTTTCTTTAGGGTGATCAGAAAGACCTCTCTGATAAAGTGACGCTTGAGCAAACATCTGAAGAAAGTGACTGGTTGAGATATGCAGATATCTGAGAGAAGCATAGGGATTGAGGGAAGGGGTACTTTGTCAAATATTTGACATTTTCAGGAAAAAGCAGGAAGATCACCGTGGCTGGAGAGCATGATATAAGGGAGGATAGTGGAAGGAAATAATATTGGATGGGTAGCAGAGACCACAACATATAGGGCCTTATAGACAATGTTAAAGACTTTGGGATTTGTTCTGAATGACATGGGAAGCCACTGGTAGGTTCTGAGCAGAGGAGTGTCATTATCAGTTGTATAGAGAAAAAAGGAAAATATCAACAGCTTGATTTAATGGAACACATAGAGATGAAGATGTCTGTGAGGCTTCCAAGTGGAGAAGTTGAGTGAACGGTTGTGTGAGTCTGTAGTCTGGGTTTTTCACTTAAGTTTTTTTCTTTTCTTTTTTTTTCACTTAAGTTTTTTTCAATCTTTTGCTAATTCCATTACCCAAAATGAAAGGTGGAATTCAAGAGTGCTTTTTCTTTCTTCAGGAAGTGTTTTAGATCACAGTTTGGAAAGCCTCATCCACCGCCTTCGTGGTTTGTGTGACAACATGGAGCCTGAGACTTTCCTTGACCATGAGATGGTATTCCTCCTTAAGGGTCAGCAGGCCAGTCCATTTGTTCTAAGGGCACGGCGCTCTATGGATAGGGCAGGGGCACCCTGGCATCTGCGCTACTTAGGACAGCCTGAAATGGGAGACAAGAACCGCCATGCTTTGGTGCGAAACTGCGTGGACATTGCAACATCTGAGAACCTCACTGACTTCCTGATGGAAATGGGCTTCCGCATGGACCATGAGTTTGTTGCCAAGGGACACTTGTTCCGTAAGGGCATCATGAAGATTATGGTGTACAAGATCTTCCGCATCCTTGTGCCAGGGAACACAGACAGCACTGAGGCCTTGTCACTCTCCTTTCTTGTGGAATTAAGTGTTGTTGCACCAGCTGGGCAGGACATGGTATCTGATGACATGAGGAACTTTGCAGAGCAGCTGAAACCTCTGGTTCACCTAGAGAAAATAGACCCCAAAAGGCTCATGTGACTAAGACAGTCTGTCCAGAGTTTGGGCCTATCATCTGTTACAAAAAAGCAGACATTGTAAATGCCCCATTTCACCACTACTGGCCAAGCAGTCTTCTCCCAAGAAGGAGGACAGTGAAAACTTAATTGGTTCTTTTCATTGTTTTCCTCACGTGGCAAGTTTATTTTTGTATCAGCTTTTCTAAATTACGGCACAAGAAAACATGGAGAATCTGCATAATCCTTCTGCATAAAGAAAGAAATGGGTATAAATTAGCTTCTGGAAAGAAAAATCTCTTAATCATTTTGCAATTGATGCATAAGATTTGTAAAATAAGACTGTGAGCTCATATTGTGTGGTAATAAAGGTTATGAAAAGAAATGTCTGTATTTCTGACTCTACCCCATTACCCTGCTAATTTGGGATGGATTCATACAAATCGGAGCAAAAAAGTGAGTTTTTAGTTTTAATTTTGATAGAGGTGATAGTTTTTACTTTTCATAAAAGTAGCATTTGTTGAAAAATTTTAAAATATAGACAAAAATAAAAATAACCTGTACTCTTATTATTCAAAGAGATGTACTATTTCTATTTTGGTATATATCCTTCTAGTATTTATTTTTGTAAATTTATATATATGATATAAAAATATTCTGTATATATTGGTTTGTAACCTCTTGTTTATTATTAACATCTTTCTAGGACATTAGGCTACTGTGTCCTATAAAAACAGAAGACTCATTTTTTGAGTTCTTAATATGTATCAGTGCTATCCTGAGTGCCTTTGGTGTGTTCATTTAATCCTCACAACTGGCCCATTTTGTTAACAGGGAAACTGAAGTGCAGAGATTAATTAGCTGTTCCTGGGCTATACAGCTACTAATTAGCAGAGCCAGTATTTATTGAGAATTATAATTACTATTTGTATAACATCGTATGGATTTTCTATAATTTAATTGATTCTCCTACTTTGGGATTATTAGTTTGATCCCAATTGTTTGTTTTTATAAACAATCCTGCAGTGTTAGTGCTTTTAATTAAATCTTCATTGATATCTATGCCTATTTTTTAGGATAAATTCCAGGGAACTACTGAGTCAAAGAGTCTGCGCTATTTTAAGACTTCTGCCATGCATTGTCAAATGCCTTCCAGAAATGTCCTGATTTTCTCTCCTACCAGCTGTAGTTGAGATTTCCAACACTTGCCAGAACTGAGTGTGACCCTGAAATCTTGTTTTTCCCATTTGATGATGAACGATAACTAGTGTTAATTTTCTTTTTAAAGTATTCATCAGTGAGGTTTAAATTTTTTATGTTTATTGGACATTTTTCTCTTATGTAAATTCCCTTCATTGTTTATTTTTATTAATTTGTAAGGAGATTTTATAGAATTTTTCTCATCATTTGACTTTCAATAGATTTTTTTTTTTAAGTGACAGTTCTTAGTGGGATATATATTGGCTTTTAATACTTAAAGAGTTTTCATATACTGGAGAGAGTTTGGCTTGCTAAAATAAAAAATAGGTTACTCAAAACTTTCATTTTCTTCTGGAACTTCCACTTAGATAACGCCCCCAGTTGAGCTGCATTTGGACAAATCATTCTTCTCTTTGGACCTCAGTTTGCCACTGTTAGGATGCTTTGAACTACAAGTAATAGAAACCCTATCCAAAGCTGCCTTAAACAGTAAAGATGGTATCTCATCTAATGATAAGTTCTAAGATGGGGTGTTTGCCAAATTGGTTAACTAGCTCATCATTTCTCTGGCTCTGAGATCCTTTTCTTGGCTTTCCCCTGAATGTTGTCGAGATAGCTTTTCCCCCCATCAGTTGCAGATTGCGTAAGTTGGTAAATCTTGTTTCTTTCACAGTATATCGGTATAATGACTCCAGCAAAGTCTTTTCTTGTTTTGTACTCCTCCCCTTTATTCCTAAACTCTATTCTCATTCCCTCTATCCTATAAGCACCCATTCTGATATGTTCAATGTATGTCTTTGGTGCCCGTCTTGTAAAACATGTAGAGTTATGTGAATATGTTCAATATATTGTGCTATAAATGTTCCTTTTTAAAATGAACATTGCTTTTGTGAATGCCCTTATTGCTATATATGAACCTAACTCATAACTTCCAACTCGCATATACTCTCATATTAACAGTAATGTTAACACTTAAATAGTGCTTAACTCTGTGGCAGGTACTTTAAATATTTTAACTTATGTACTTCTCTCAACCACCATACAAGGTAGATGTTACTATTCTCATTTCACAGATGAGCAAGAGACAGAGGTTACTCAAATTTTCTACTTCCGTTCTTCAAAGTCAGAACTAGTAATTGGTGTAGGCTGAATTTCAACTCAGGCAGTCTAGCTCCAGAATCTAGGCATATAAATGCTGTTTTACTCATTTAGTCACGATAGAAACCTAGATTACCTTCACCTCTCTATTACCATAAAAATGCTAAAATAAGCAAATTTGTAAATTGATGTGAATATTCCCTTGAGCTATCTATCTACAGGCATGTTGAATTTTGCTAAATATTGCCAGATTGCTTTTCAGAATGATTGTAGTATTCACATTCCTATAGCCAGTGCACGAGAACTCATCCACATCATCACCAGTCTTTGGCATTATACATCTTCCTAATTTTTGCCAGTTTGATGGATGGAAAGTGGCAGCTCTTGATTTTTTTGTTTGTTTGTTTTTTATTGTGGTATAATTGACATACAATATTATATTGGTTTCAGGTTACAGCATCATGATCCAGCATTTGTATGCATCACACAATGATCATAAGTCTAGTTATCCTGTCACCATATAAAGTTAATACAATATTATTGACTATTGTCCTTATGCTGTACATTATATCCCCATGACTTAATTCATTTTAAAACTGGAATTTGTTTTTGATCCCCTTTACTCTTGATCCCCTTTACCTATTTCACCTACCCCAAAGCTCTTGGTTGTTTTGATTTGCATTTCTCTGATTATAAATTAAATTTGAGCCCTTTTAAAAAAATTTTTTTGAGCCCTTTTTTTATGTGCTTTTTTGTATATGAAATTGTATAGACTACTTAGTATGTGAAACTAAGGTATCTATATCCTTTGTCTGTTTTTCTAATTGCTTTCCTGTCATTGATTTATAGGAATCCTTTGTATATTCTAGACATTAATCCTCTGTTAGTTTTAAACATTGCAAATACCTTCTCCCAATATCTATTTATATATCCTTTGCCTACTTTTTTCTACTTGATTTCATGTCTTGTTGGTTTATAGGAATTGTGTGTATTCTCGATATTCTTCCTTGTTTATTTTAAACATTGTAGATAACTTCTCCCATTCTGTTACCTTCCTGTTAACTTTGAGATGTCATTAATTAAGCAGATGTCTTAAATTTTGGCCTTATGATTTAGTCTTATTTAAGAAGTCATTAGCTGTAGGTAACTTAGATTTTCCTGTATTCGTTTTATAGTTTTAACTTTCACATATAGGCCTTTAATCCCTCTGGAGTCCACCTTTAACATAGTTTCAAGTAAAAATTCAGTTTTTTCTACATATGGTAAATTAGTTTTTCAATCACTATCTGAAAAACAAACTTTCTAGTGTTTTGTGATGTCACTTTTATCACATATTAGGTTCCCATGGATATACTTTATTTCTAAGCTCTCTATTCTATTCCATTGGTCTCTTTGTTTCATTGCCAGCAACACAATGTTTTTTATTACTGTGGCTTTGTGGTAGAGCCAGTTCTACCAGTAAGGCAGGTATTATTTCCCCCTCAAAATAGACTTAGCTTTCATGGACTTTTATTCTTTCATATTCATTTTAGAGTGTTTTAGTTTCTCAACATTATTAGACTTTTTATTGGAATTTCATTGAAAAGGGATAGATTAATTTGGGGGAGAACTGACATCTTTGACTAGAACACTGCCTCCCCAGAATTCAGTGTGGTAAGCTTCCTTCACCCCTAACATGTCAAGGAAGCCTTCCCTGACCATCCGAAATTAAGTAGCACACTCACCACCCATCACTCTCTGTCTTATTAAATCTTCTTCATAACATTTGTTACTAAACGACTTTATTTATTGACTGCTTCTCTACAAAAATGTAAGATTCATGAGGAGAGGTGCTCTGTTTTGTTCTCTGCTATACTCCTAAGACCCAAAACAATGCTTGGCCCATGGTAGTCACTCTGAATATTTAACGAATGAATAAATTTTTACACTACTGAGATTATCCCGATTATATTTATTCTGGTGTTCTTATATCCCTTAAAAGAGTTTAAATTTTTCTTGATAAACTTCCAAAGCATAGCTTTTAGGCCAATTACTATATGTCAGGAGTCAACAAATTATACCTGTGCACATCAGCCTGCTGTCTGTTTTTGTAAGTAAAGTTTTATTGAAACATCCATATTCATTTATTTAAATATTGTCTACTGCTGCTTTTGAACTACAATGACAGAGCTGAGTAGCTGCAACAGAGACCATGTGACCCACAAAGCAGAAACTTTGCCGTCTTGTCCTTTACAGAAAAAGTTTGCTGATCTTTACTCTAGACTATCATTTAGTTGCTACTATAGATTGTGTTATACTTTTATTACATTATTAGGTAGTTATTCCTGGTATGGAAGAACACTTGATTTTTTAAAGATAATTTTTATTCTTGCAAACTTGATTAATAATTTTTATAGGTCTGATAGTTTGCCTGCTGATTATGTTGTATTTTCCATATAGACTATCATGTCATTGACAAGAATGGTAAGCAGGAAGAGTACAAATATCTTTTACCTTTTTCTTGTCTAAAAGAATTGGGCAGAATCTCAAATACTCTAGATAACACTAGTGGTAATAATAAGCATTCATGACTTAGTCCTGATCTTAATGTATTTGCATCAGGTTCCTCTTATTAAGTAAGAAAAAAATTATGTGATCTTTACCCTTTGGTCCATTAATGTGGTGAATTGTATTGACAGATTTTCTGTTGAACCATCCTTGTATTCCTGGGATAATTCCTATGCATTATGATATTATCTTTTAAATACACTGTTAGACTTGAGTACCTATTATTTTGTTTTGGATATTTGCATTGTAGACTACCTTAATTGCCATCCAGAGACCTATGCAATGAGACTACTCCCTATTTTTCCAACCTCTCTGCTGGAACTACAATCTAAGCACTGTGCTAGATGCTGGGTTATAGCAATGGCTAAGATACAGACCCTATCTTTAATAACCCCCATTATTATAGCAGAAACAGACATTTATACAGTTTGTAGTCATAAAAGCTATGTGAACAAAGGGCTCCTTCCCAAAACAAATGAATCTTTAGCACTGGCCAAACAGGTCTCCTTCCTTTTCCTTGTCTATAATTCACTCCTCTTG